GAACTGCTGAACTACCGACCTTCCACAGCCTGCAGTTCAGCGTCTTAACCACTTGAGCCACTGCGGCTCCTTAAAGTGCTGGAACAGGGTTCAAATAAAGTGTGCAAGCAGAAATCGAAGATTAAACAGTGTTACTTAGGTGATAGTCATGATCCGTTTGTATGTGCGGTGGACCCAAGCTGTAAATTGTGGGTCAGGGCACAGGGTCACTTCTCAGATGTTTACTGCGGCTCCTAATCAAAGGCCTGGTGGAAGAGGTCCCACAGAGCCCTGATTTCTTCTGGGAGTTCATTTCACCAGTATGGAGCTGCCACTGAAAAGGCCCTGGCCCTGGTTATCGCCAGTGTTCCCTCTAAGCTGAGTTAGTGTGAGCTAGCTCATAGTTTCTTAGCCTCCGGCTCACACGTTTTTGTCTTAGCTCAGGAAGGATGGCTCCAGAGCAAACTAATTTATGCAGTAGCCAGGACGCTGGCTCACAGCTTTAATGCCAGTAGCTCACAAGGTAGAATTTTTGCTCACAAGACTCCACGGCTTAGAGGGAGCATTGGTTATTGCCAGCCAGGCATCTTTGGGACCCGGGAGGGCCAGACGATTTTTGGTCTTAAAGGTGCCACTGGACTCAAAATCTGTTCTTCTGGACCTAAGAGTATCAGTCATTAAATCGAGGAGCTTCGAGGAGAATCTAAAAAGCACAACTGCTGAATTTAAGTTCATTCACAGTTTCAGCACAATGGAACCCCAGGGCTGAGCAGGCACAGAGGATTCTTATCTCACAGGTGCTAGTTTTCTGTCCCATGGCATTTCTGTTCTTCCCGTCAGCATTTCTCCTTTGTTCTAATTTAGCTAATTATAATGTACACGGTACCTCTGCGTTCTGAGTTCCTTTTTTGCAACACCCCTCCCTCCCTCAGACTGGGACATAAAGACTGAGAGATCTCCATTCTGAAATAAATATGATGAAAGTAGCCTTGACTCTTGAAAGCTTACATGCGGAAAATCTTTTTAGCCTTTAAAATCATAGGATCATAAAGAGTTAGAAGGGATCTCCAGGGTCATCTAGTCCAACCCCCTGCACAATGCAGGACCTTCAAAAATACTTCCCCCTCACACTTCTAGTGACTGCTGTTCCTCACCCGGAAGATGACAAATAACCTCCAGAATCTCCAGCCAAACTGGCCTGGAGAACAATGGCTTCCTGACCCCAAAGTGGCGATCAGCATTTCCCTGGGCGTGTAAGAAAGGGCCACAAGAACTAAGCACTGAGGCAACCCTTCCTGCCCCCCCTCTCATGATCTGCCTAAGTTCACAGAATCAGCATTGCTGTCAGATGGCCATCTAGTCTCTGTTTGAAAACCTCTGTTATGTATTGAGCCTGAACTGTCCTTGCAAAAGGACTGAACTTGGGATGCATAACAATAGATGGCTAGAATCCTAGAATGGACCAGTAGGGAGACAGGGATCCTAGAGTAAACCAATTGGGAAACAATGGAGTGTAAATAGCCTATCGTTGGGAGTGGGGTGTGTTTTGGGTGTAACCCTTTTCAGGCATAAATACCTGGCTTTGGCCAGGGATAGCCAGTCTTCTTTCTCTTGCTGAATCACTAATAAACTATGAGCTGATCACTTCTATCAGTCTGAACCCAGGATATTTCAACCTCCAAAGACAGAGAGCCCACCTCCCACCCCCGAGGAAGCCTGTTCCACTGAGGAACCGTTCAGTCAGGAAGTTCTTCCTAATGTATAGCCAAAAACTCTTCTGATTTAATTTCAACCCGTTGGTTTAGGCGCTACTAGACTTGCAATCAGATATTTGTGGAAAGTTTCATGCCATCAATACAGTTATACTTTTCTTTCAGCAACAGACATGTGGCAGTCAGCAAATGAACCAGAAGAACACTCGTTGATGGAGAAAGAGGATACGTATTCAGATGTAAAAGAGAAGTTTGAATATTTGGATGCACTGAGGAAGGAGGAGGGGAAACACCCACCTAAGGGGAGGAGTAATTCCAGTCTTTTACAGGAGGATGACTCTCTACAGCAAAAAAAATGTCAAGGAGACAACAATGAGTGCACTTCAAGCAGGGAAAATTTCACTGAAATATCAGTTATTAATATTCAACAAGGGATGTGTAACAGGAAGAAAATATATAAATGCCTGGTATGTGAAGACCGTTTCAGGCAGAAAGCGCACCTTATTTCCCATCAAAGAATTCACACAGGAGAGAAACCATATGAATGCCTGGAGTGTGAAAAAAGCTTCAGTTGCAGTTCACGCCTTAGTGTCCATCAGAAAACTCACTCAGGAGAAAAATCATACAAATGTCTGGAGTGTGGGAAAAGCTTCACTTGCAGTTTAAACCTTAGTGTACATCAGAAAATTCACACTGGGGAGAAACCATATAAATGCCTAGAGTGTGGGAAAAGCTTCAGTCGAAGTTTCAGTTTTACTAACCATCAAAGAATTCACAAAGGAGAGAAACCATATGAATGCCTGGAGTGTGGACAAAGATTCGTTTGCAGTTCACACCTTAGTGTACATCTGAAAATTCACACAGGCAAGAAACCATATAAATGCCTGGAGTGTGGACAAAGATTCGTTTGCAGTTCACACCTTAGTGTACATCTGAAAATTCACACAGGCAAGAAACCATATAAATGCCTGGCATGTGGAAAAAGCTTCATTTGCAGTTCACACCTTAGAGTGCATCAGAGAATTCACACAGGGGAGAAACCATATAAATGTCTGGAATGTGGAAAAAGCTTCATTTGCAGTTCACACCTTAGAGTGCATCAGAGAATTCACACAGGGGAGAAACCATACAAATGCCTGAAATGTGAGAATAGCTTCAATCAGATTTCCACTCTTATTTCTCATCAAAGAATGCACACAGGGGAGAAACCATATAAATGCCTGGAGTGTGGAAAAAGCTTCAGTCGCAGTTCACACCTTAGTGGACATCAGAAAACCCACACAGGGGAGAAACCACACAAATGCCTGGAGTGTGGGAAAAGCTTCAGTCGAAGTTCCCATCTTACTACCCATCAAAGAATTCACACAGGGGAGAAACCATATGAATGCCTGGAGTGTGGAAAATGCTTCACTTGCCCTTCTCGCCTTCGTGGACATCAGAAAATTCACACAGGGGAGAAACCATATAAATGTCTGGAGTGTGGGAAAAGCTTCAGTCGAAGTTCCCATCTTACTACCCATCAAAGAATTCACACAGGGGAGAAACCATTTGAATGTCTGGAATGTGGAAGAAGCTTCGTTCGCAGTTCACAACTTAGTGTCCATCAGAAAATTCACACAGGCGAGAAACCATATAAATGCCTGGAGTGTGGAAAAACTTTCAGTCGCACTTCATACCTTAGTGTCCATCAGAAAATTCACACCGGGGAGAAACCATATAAATGCCTGGAGTGTGGGAAAAGCTTCAGTCGTAGTTCACAGCTTTATATCCATCAAAAAATTCACACAGGGGAGAAACCATATAAATGCCTGGAGTGTGGGAGAAGCTTCAGTCAGATTTCCAGTCTTTCTTCCCATCAAAAAACGCACACAGGGGAGAAGCCATATCAATGCTTGGAGTGTGGGAGAAGCTTCAGTCAGATTTCCGGGCTTTCTTCCCATCAAAGAATGCACACAGGGGAGAAACCATATAAGTGCCTGGAGTGTGGGAAAAGCTTCAGTCGAAGTTTCAGTCTTACTTCCCATCAAAGAATTCACACAAGGGAGAAACCATATAAATGCCTGGAGTGTGGGAAAAGCTTCAGTCGACGTTTCAGTCTTACTTCCCATCAAAGAATTCACACAAGGGAGAAACCATATAAATGCCTGGAGTGTGGGAAAAGCTTCAGTCGACGTTTCAGTCTTACTTCCCATCAAAGAATTCACACAAGGGAGTGTGCCACATGAGTGCCTGAAGTGTGGCAAAAGCTTCACTTGCAGTTCACAACTTAGTGTACATCAGAAAATTCATACTGGGGAGAAACCATAGAAATGCCTGGAGTATGGGAACAGCTTCAATCAGATTTCCAGTCTTACTTTCCATCAAAGAATACTCACAAGGGAGAAGCCATATAAATTCCTGGAGTGTGGGAAAAGCTTCAGTTTCAGTTCACACATTAGTATCCATCAGAAAATTCACTCGTGATAAACCAAATGTACATCGTTAAATTGTTCCTTGGGCGTTTTTCTGCTGAAACAGAGGCTTCACAGTTACTGCCCAAATCTGAGTGTTTCCAAGGTCTGGATTACAGCCCACTTCCGACTGTGTCTGGAAACCTGATAAGGATTAAAGCCTGACCACCTTCACCTTTTCAAGATTTATGGACACAGTTATTTATAGCCAAAGAGAGATTTTATTGAAGACAAAAAGAGACATCTCCCTGCCAATGTTCCCTCTAAGCTGTGGAGTCTTGTGAGCAAAAATTCTGCTTTGTGAGTTACTGGCTTTACAGTTGTGAGCCAGTGATTTGGCTACTGCATAAATCAGTTTGCTCTGGAGCCATCCTTCCTGAGCTAAGACAAAAATCTGTGAGCTGGAGGCTAAAAAATTGTGAGCTAGCTCACACTAACTCAGCTTAGAGGGAACACTGCTCCCTGCTAAGGTAATATCTCTCATGGTATTATAATCCCCCCCAAGGACTTATTTAAATAATACCTATGGCAAAAAGCTCAATTACAAAATCAACAAGACTAAATGGAGGAGGACCTAATTATTTTCCCATTGATAGCTTAATTTTGCTTTTGATGAAATTGTGCATGCTTGGAAGTCTTTTATTCTTCTCAGCTGTGTAGAGAAATCTGCCATGAGAAATTCTTCGTATTTCTGTTAGAGGATTTTTTGTTTTAGAACAACTATATATAACACAAGATAAGACTCTGTGACACTCCGAGATTTTTGTCTGTGAGGACTGAGGAAGAACTCGTTAAAGACTGTATGATTAAATGGGTCAAAAATGTTCGACATGATATTTTAATGTATCATTAGGAAAAGATGTGGACAAAAGGGCTGAAATTTGCACTTTACTGTAACCTGAAAGAGAACTTTTATAAGATGATGTATCAATGGTATATGTCTCCAGAGAAATTGTCTGAAATGTATAAAGGTACTTCTAGTTTATGTTGGAAAGGCAATCACCACGAAGGGACCTTTCTCACATGTGGTGCCCTTGTAAAAAAGGCTACAAACTTTTGGATTTTTTAATGCAGAAGATTCTAAAGACTAAGATACAGTTGAAACCAGAGTCTTTTTTGTTAGGTTTAATAAACAGTCAGCTGGAAAGAAGTCATGGAGTTTTGTTTTTATATATGTCTACGGCAGCGAGAATGAGAGTACAGAAATGGAAATGTCCGACAATACCTACAGTAGAAGAATGATTGGAGAAGATGCTGGAAGCTGCAGCTATGGCTAAACTTACAGTACTGGTTAGGGAAAAGACAATTATGTCATTTATTAGATACTGGAAACCCCTTATTGACTTTTTGGATGAAAAAGATAAGGATGACTTGACCATTTGTGGTTTTTCTGACTAAGAAATATGCATAAGGAGAATGAAAAGAGAGCTTTTGTGTTTGTTGTTATAAACAGGGAAGATTTTGTAATCAAGGTTCTATTTGTAGAAAAAAATTGGAAGCCTTTCATATCCCTTTCCCTTTTCCTATTAGACTGTTCTATGGTGTTTGGTTTTGGAAGTTTTTATTTCGTCTGTATGTCTTCTAGTTTTATCCCTTTAATAAAACTAAAATTGGTTACCAAAAAGAAAATTCGCACAGGGGAGAAACGATACAAATGTGTGGAGTGTGGGAATAGCTTCAATCAGATTTCCACTCTTGCTTCTCATTGAAGAATTCATGGAGGGGAAAAACCATATCAATTATTGGAGTGTGGGAAAGGCTTCACTGACATTTCCAGTCTCACTTCACATCAAAGAATTCACATGGAAGAAACCATACGAATGCCTGGAGTGTGGGGGAAAGCTTCAGTTGCAGTTCACGTTAGTGTCCATCAGAAAATTCACACAGGAGAGCAACCATATAAATGCCTGGAGTGTGGAAAAAGCTTCACTGACAGTTCCAGTCTTACTTCCCATCAAAGAATGCACACAGGGGAGAAACTATATCAATGCCTGGCGTGTAGCGAAAGCTTCAGTAGGTAGTTTCAGTCTTACTTTCCATCAAAGAATTCATGCATGGGAGAAACTATACAAATACCTTCTGTGTGGTAAAAGTTTCCGTCAGAGTTCACACCTTACTTCCCACCAAAGGGGGTGCACACAGGGGAGATGAAATATGTTGAATATTCATGGTTTTAGTTTTATTTATGAATGCTTATGCATTCTGTTTTTTTATAACCTCTGTAAGGTTCCATTCCCGGTCAGGAAAAGTACCAAAACTTCAGAACTGCCTTTCAACCCTGACAGTTCATTAGTATAACAAGACATAGGATATTTATTGCTCTGGAATTACAAACAAGTGCTGTCTTTTGTAAACTCGCTCTGAGAATTTAATGGCAGTTATCAAGATATATTCTAGTCCACCTAGTATAGTTACTCGTTTGCAGAGTTGCATTAAGGTCTAATTCTTTTATTTGGGGGACAGTCACATGTTCAAGTTCAAAAGTTTTATTTGTCTTCCTCTGTCACCTCCATCAAAAGTTTCACGTAATGCTCTGAGCAGGCTTTCTGCTGGTGGCTTCCAGACAGAAAGGACCTTATATTAGGTGAGGATATCACATGTGCTGGGATTCCCTTTGTACATAGCCTTCTACCTATCTTATTTATTTATTTACTAGAAATAAGGCTCGTTGTGGAAATAAATACAACGGGATCTAGAAAGAGGCTCTGGGAGAGTGCTCTGGCTTTGGGCAAACAGTGTCAGTCTGCTTTTAAAACATGAATCTGGGACCTGCACACCACCAGAATACAGCAGATTCCATATGCAACTGACATTCCAACTGCCTTGCGGGGGGGGGGAGTTTGAGGTGTGGAATGGAGTGAAGTCCAATCAGCTTCCATATGCAAAAGACCAGGTTGTCGCAGCAGTTGTGGTGTGGGCAGGACCCGGGCTTTGCCTTCTGATTGGTGGTGATATATGCTGAGGAGCAGTGCCATCAGCCATACACTAAGGGAGTGCATTTTAGAATTAGAACTTTGGCACCCACTATTCAATTATATATAAGGAGAGATATTTATACCCCGCCCTCCACGCGAGCGGGCTGACATGCCTAAATCTTAAAAGCTGAAATGCCTAAATCTTAGAGAACTGTAATTCTTATATATTAGTAGACATTCTTTTTATTGAGTGCATTTTCCTATACTTGTGTTTTTGTTTTTTTTTATTTATAATTTTTATTTCATTTTTAGCAAAAATTACATAAGTCCAATACAATAAACTAGAAATTCATCAATCACAGAATAAAGTGTTTTCATATCCAAAAGAAATACAATCACAGTTCGAACAAACATAACCATTGTGTATAACAAGACTATACAATTGTAATTCCCTGAGAACAGCTATTTAATGCTCTAGGACATAAAGAAGTATGGGTACAGCGTGAGCACATTGAGGTAAACAATAAAAATTATTATCCAGTTTTCATGTTACAAAGCACAGGAACAATCACATCCACCTCTACTTTCACCTGTTCATCAGATTCTTCCCTGATACAAAGAGTGCACTTGTATGTCTTTAAGAAGTTCACTGTTCTACCGACACAAGATCTGAAGTCTGACCTAATATTTCATTGTACTGGAAGAGAAAAGTCCTTCTGAAAGTTTGCTCAGTTAAACCCTAGTGGGTGACCCTGCTTGAACTGGTGTTCTTATCGGGCTTAAGTGAAGTGATTGGCCATCACATACAAAGCCTGTCAGAGCCTGGGTCCCTCATACCTGCAGAACCACCTCCCCTCCCCCCCCCCGCTCCAACAAGACAGCTTGGCCTCCTCTTAGAAGAAGAAGAGATTGGATTTATACCCCACCCTTCACTACCCAAAGGTGTCTCAGAGCAGCTTACAAACTCCTTTCCCTTCCCCTCCGCACAACAGACACCCTGTGAGGTAGGTGGGACTGAGAGAGCTCTTGACAGAAATGGCTCTTTCCCAAGAACAGCTCTTATCAGAGCTACGGCTTGCCCAAGGTCATCCAGCCAGGTGCAAGTGGGGGAGTGGGGAATCAAACCCGGTTCTCCCAGATTAGAGTCTGCGGACTTAACCACTACACCAAACCTTAGCAGGGCCTTCTGAAGGTGCCTCCCTGCAAATCGGCAAAGTCGACAACTGCCTGTTAATATGGGTTCTATGGCTTTGATCACACACACTAAATAATCCGCTTTCAATGCCCTTTCCAACTGGATTTTGCCAGTTCAGTAAAATCCAGTCGGAAAGTGCATTGAAAGAGGATTATTTAGTGTGTGTGAACGCAGCCATTGTTGTGCTCAAAGCCTGGGGGAGAGAGTGTCTGAGGAGATCAGGAAGGCTGCCATTCTCTTGGCTTTCTGCAAATTATGCAATGAAATGTTTTCAGGCACGTTTTTCAGTAAAGGGACAAGGACTGTGGTCTGTTATATGCTGTCCAGTATGTACTGCCATCAGGATGGCCTGGCGTGATGGGGTCGCAAAGAGTTGGGCTCGACTGTGTGACTGAACAACAGCATGTACTGCCATAAACATAATCCTTCTGTGTACCTCCTGTACGGTCAAACATTACATGTAGGTGCTTTTGCTTGGTTCCAGCTCTTTCCCCCCAGATGTTCTGCTCATTTACTGATTATTTTTTTTAATAATCCCAGTTTATTTTGGCCCCGGTCACACGGGCAGGAAACTGCGGGGGGGAAGCGTGGCTGTTTGCCCCGGGGCAAACTAACATGCAGTAAAGCGATCGTACCTCCTGTGGAGGTTCTGTGGAGGTACCGTGGAGCTTCTGTGGTTACGGAGAGGCGTCGTTCACAACACATGCCTGCGCGCAACAAAGAAGCGCGCTGCGCGGCGAACTGGTTTTCTTTTTTTGTGTACACTACGAATGCGCATGCTCCGTTGGGTGCGTGTGCGCAACCATGGAGACTTGGGGAAAAAAACACCCTTCTTCGCAAGGGGACATGGGCGGGCGCCGGATGCCACCGGAAACGCGATCAGACGCCCGCCCTTGCCCCGCAGTTTCCGAGGTACTAGTTTTTTGCTGCGCGTTTTCGGGAGGAAGCCTCGGTTGTGCCACAGAAGTGCTACGCTCCCCAGATGTGCTGGTGAGATCGCGCCCGGAAACTCCGCCTGTCTTCCGTATCTCTTGCGTGGCTAATGTTGCGTGTGACCGCAGCCATTGTATTGTTTCCTGGATGTTCCATTCCTGTTGATCCTTGAGTTTCAGTGGAAAAGGTGAGCCATAAAAGAATTAAAGAAGAAAGAATGCTGAGGTCTGACTTACTCCCGGGTACCCCGAGAGCCCAGAAGATGGTAGTTCCTGTCCTTTAGACTCTGGCCTTTAAACATGAGAAACCACATGTTAAAGCAAATACAAACAAGTTAAAGGTCTCCTCAGGAGGCTGAACTGAGCTGATTAACAAATGAATGGGAAGAGTGGATATGATGAAGCATATAAAGGCTGCACTCGAAGCCTGGTGCTGACAATGGCCATGCCCCATAAGCAAAAATACTGGTGGGGTGAACCAGCCAGGGCTCAGCGACAACGAGGACTCCTCAGAGGAGGAGGGGCCTTGTGTTGCTAGCCCACAGTCGACAGAAGCTGACCAGCAGGAAAATGAGGCACAGGCATTCCCTAACTTGCAGTTGAGAGTTGGTTGCCTCAGTTGAGTGGAAGGGTTACCTCAGTGCTTAGTTCTTGTGGCCATGGGTGTGTAAGAAAGGGCCAGGAGAACTAAGCACGGAGGCAACCCTTCCTGCCCTCCCTTCTCATGATCTGCCTAAATTCACAGAATCTGCATTGCTGTCAGAGGGCCATCTAGCCTCCCTTTGAAAACCTCCAAAGGAGGAGAGCCCACCACCTCTCGAGGAAGCCTGTTCCACTGAGGAACTGCTCCAACTGTCAGGAAGTTCTTCCTAATGTTGAGCCGAGAACTCTTCTGAGGGGCAGCACAGATGACAACCGGGAACATCTGGTACCATGCAAGAACTGGGCATTTTGGGAAGTAAGGGGGAAGGACTCGAGACTTGAACGAAGAGGCCTGGGACATCCCAGGAGCAAAGTTCTACTTTCCACCATCAGTGGAATTCCAAGGATCAAGCAGCCTGCACAGCAGACGGGATTCCCTGCCATCAGGTCTGGCCAGCTTAACGTCGGGTGAGTGGGAGGGTGACGAGGTCAGGGTAGGATGCCGCACTGTTTTCAGTAAGGCTTTATTTCCTTTAAAGGATCATTGCCCGGGACTCTGTCTGTTCACTGCTGGTTATGAGCCCACCAGGCCCCAGCCCTGCTCTAGAGTCTGATCTACCCTGGGGGTAGAAGGCAGGGAGGCCTGAGGCATTTGGTGTGAGTAGTGGGATGCTGTTCAGGAGAACAGCAGGACTAAGAGTTGTGGCACCGCTGCACCTCTTTTAGGGAGAGCGAGCAGACAAACATCTGGAGAAGCGGAAGTATATCGAAGTGACCAGTGTTCTGGCTGACTTGCCAAGCTTCCAGTGTCAGGCCGCAGTGCCTTTCTAGGATCAGGAAGCAATTTTCTCCGGGCCAGTTTAGACAGGGATCCTGGAGGGTGGGGTGGTTTGGATTTATTTATTTATTTATTGCCAGCTTCTGGGAATGGGGCTGGTCACTGGGTGTGTGTGTGTGGGGAAGGTATTTGTGAATTTCCTGCATTGTGCAGGGGGTTGGACTAGATGACCCTGGAGGTCCCTTCCAACGCTGTGATTCTATGAAATCCGCAGGAGCCTATCACAGTTGATTTAATTTTTGGCTCTTTCCCCCAAATGCTTTGTTTGCATTTTCCACCAGGGTCCCTTAAGGGCTGAAATGCTCTCTAATCAGGGTATGTTTGGGGGGCTTTTTTTGGTGACATTCTTCACCAGTGTGGTGTACCAGCAACTTTTTTTTGGGGGGGAGAGGGTCCCCAATTCTTGAGGGAAGAAATGGGGAAAATCAGTGCCGTTTTATACAAAAGTCCCCCCATCTTTCCTTTTTTTCTTTCTTTTACAAAATGAGCAC